CGTAAAGTTTGAGTCGGTGTATGACAAAAAAGTAATAAACTCCATCACTAACTGAATACGGTCTTGAATTTGGATATTTACGGCTCTAATAATCTAACAGATTGATAAAAGATTTCTACACATCAACTGCACATCTTGAGGGAGGGGTTTTTCACCGGCCATGACTCCGGCAGCTGTTAGGTTAGGTTAGGTCTAAAGTGAGTTGGCGTATTTGGCCCTCCACCGCAACCCGCAAGGATTCATTGTGGCTCACACCTATTCACACTCGACCAAATTAACCCAGCTTCTCAGCGAAGCCCATTAGTTTGTATGGTGAGTGGCAGGCACAGAATATGTGCTCTGCTGTTTCATCATTTTCCAAACAGAGGCGACACACACTGTCTTCTGACAGTCCGAGTCTCTGGATATGATGATTCAAATGACAGTGACCTGTAGGAAGGCTTGGTAGACATCGTAGTTCATCTCCACTGTAGTCCAACAACTGTTTGGTATCAAGTTTCGAAGGGTGGATAAACGCTTTGGAGTGAGCCAATCCTGGAAGATTCTGCCAGAAGTCCATAAATCTTCTTGATATACACGTGTTCTGGTTCGATGATCGACAAATGTACTCTTGAATAGTAACTTTGAGTTTTATCTAGTATTACCGCATCTCCAAAAGAGATAATGTGGGTTCAGAGCATGTTCGACTACAGCTGATTTGTCGCTTTGTCCAAGTCGACAATTTCTCTTGTGTTCAGAGAGATGAGTATCAGCACTTCTTTTCGCTGTTCCAATGTAGACCGATCCGCAGCTACAAGGAATCTGGTATACTCTGGGTGTGGTTCTTGCGTCTTTAGCTGACCTTAGACGTTATCTGATAGTTTTTGTTGGCTTACGTCGTGTTTCTCTGAGATTCTCCCAATCTATTCTATAACATTTCGAACATAGGGACCAGTCTAGCTGGGGTTACTTCGGCGTCCTCTCTCCTGGATCGTATGGCCCGCTCGAATTCACTTTTGTGTAATTATTTTTTTCGAAGGTATTCCTTACTTCTTTAGGAATGCTCTCAGGTTCACAGATATATCGTGATCTCTCAACCAACGATCTCTTTTCTCTTCTTTTTTGGCTGGTGCTTAGAGTTTTTGTTCAGGTGCTTGTCTGTGTGCGAAAGAGTTGTCTATAATCCATTAATGAACTTAGTGGCAAGAGACACAAAAAATTTGTACACATTCCATTTTCTCCTACTGAAGTTAATGACTTCAATTGCTCTATTGCGGAGGACTTGACAAAAAATATAAAAGCAGCCGGTGACCCCTTAGACCAGGGGTCTCCAAACTTTGAAGCCTTCGGGCTAACTGGATGAATTTGTCCCTTCATCAGTAGTGTCATCCTCACCGATCTGAATTATCAGTGGCTTGATTTGTGCCTCTATTATGTTATCAAGCTTGCACATCTTTGTACCGACTTCCGATATCACATGCCAAACACACTTCTTCCATTTCTCCGCTGTGACTTTTTTCAAAGCCTCATCAAAATTACTTCGAGATCTGCAATTTGACTACGGACTACCAAGAACGATTTGGGGGCATGATCATTTCACGAGGAGGTGATGTGAACTGGCCACCAAGATCGCACGATTTGATCCCGTTAGATTTTTTCCTGTGGGGTTTGCTTGAGTCGGAAAGAATGGAAAATCGGATGTTTCTGATGCGCTCTACCCTGAGAAGCCGTCACAGACATTTGAACAATATTATATTCCACAAATAATGGTATCAATAGGTCTGTCGATGTTCCATCTGAATTAAGATAGGATGGGATGAAGACAGGAAGTGTTTAATGAAAAACCCTATACATCAATCATAATTTAGACAAAATAGTTTGTATAGTCCCTTTCAAAAGATGTAAATAACAAATATATACAATTTGAACATAAGTTCACATGCCATGGCAATAAAATAAGATCTATTCCAGTATAAAATATAATTTTAAGTATAGGTGTCAATATAAACAAAAAAACACACCTATATTAAATCACAGCAATGTTCCATTGTAATATTCATTAAGATTGTAGTACGCTTTACTTGCAAGGGTATCTTTAACATGATTTCTGAACTTTTTATAGCTTTTTTCCTTCCTAATTTCGTAAGGTATGTCATTATACAGCTTTTTACTTTCATAAATCAAAGAAAACTTTGTCTGGCTTGTTTTTGGAACAAGTTATTTTCAGTTACTTGCCGGGTTATGTAATTTGTAGCTTCCGGAGTTCCAACCATATTATGTTTTCTGTAAATCAGGCAAACAATTTCAAGTATGAAAATACAAGTAACGGTGAGAATTTTTTCTTTCAAAAATAATGGCCTGCATAACTCACGCACTCCCACCTTGCATAAGTATCTAACCGCTCGCTTTTGCTAAACAAAAATCCTGATGTCAATTTTTTATTCAAAGCTGTAATATGTTGATCAAATTTCAATTTGTTATCCATGAAGATTCCCAGGTATTTGGATTGCTTTTTATTCTCGAGAATTTGTCCATTCAAGTATAAATTGTTAATATTAGAGCTGAAGGTGGGTAGGTTTGTTTTTTTAATATTAAAGCAGAAGTAGTTTGCCGTACACTATTTTTTCACAACTTCTAAATCACTAGAGTTAGTTTCTTTCATATTAGAAGTATTTTTTTCGTGCCAAAGGAGCGTGGTATCATCCGCAAAGATGGTAAAAATTCCTTGAATTGAGAGAGTAACCAGGTCATTTACATAAATAAGGAAAAGAATCGGGCCTAGTACTGATCCTTGTGGTAAGCCCCATAATATATCCTTAGTGTGTGATAGTTTTTTGTTTGATCTTACTAACTGTTTTCTATCACTTAAGTAAGACCTGAATCAGTCAATATACACTTCTCTAAAGCCATAGTAGTTCAAATTTTACAAAAAAAGTGCATGATTCACACAATCAAAAGCTTTGGAGAAATCGCAGAATACTGCAGCTACGACCCCACCATTGTTGAGATGTGTGTAGACATGTCCAAGAAAGGAAAAGATCGCATCATTATTTGTGCCTTTTGCCTACTGAAAGCCAAATTAACAGTTGGTTAATATATTGTGTTTGTAAAGAAAAGATAATACCCTTTTTTTCACCATTTTTTCTATGATTTTTGAGAGTGTTCAGTGCATGGAGATATGTCTGAAATTATTTGGATCTTCTGCGTTACCACCTTTGAAAATAGGAATTACAAGAGCTGTTTTTAGACACGGAGGGAAATTTCCAAGGGAAAAGGATTCATTTATAGCCATCACTAGTGTATTCAAAGCGGAATCGGGAAGGTTATTTAAAAGTTTTACTGAAATTTCATCAATGCCTGTTGCATTTTTGTTTTTATTTTCCTGCAAGATTTCTTTCAGCTCTAATAAATTTGTGTCTTCAAAGTGAAAGTTGTTGGGCATATTTACATTATTTAAATAATCCATAGTATTTGAAGTGGAAACAAGGGATGAAGTTAGTTTTTGAGCAATAGTGAATTTGAAAATAGGTTCTTCCAATTTGCCAAATCTTAAAAAGTATCTAGTGGATGTTATGCTATTAGAGAGATATCAAATGAACTAGGGTACACTACAGCTAGAATGGCTTACTTTGCACTGATCGAATCTCATATTCGCTATGGAATAGCTTTCTGGGGCCATTGTGATACACAGTTACAGAATACGATACTTGTGCTACAGAAGAGGTCTTTGAGATACCTTACAAAGTCTAAGCGGAGAGATCACTGCAAGCCTTTATTCATCAGCCACAAAATATTAACTGTCACCTGTTTATATACGATAGAAATAGTAGGTAGGATTCTCCTGAGGCCTACTGAAGCCTATTTTGAGGCTGAAGACAGATATTAGGTCTACCTCCACCTGAGGTTGCCTCTCAGCTCGCAACCCAGTCAACCAGAGTACACCGTCACGTGGTTTTCTGTCACCCAGCTAGGTGGTGAGGCAGCCAATCAGAGTGTACGTAGTGTCCTTAAACTCCAACTAACCAGAGCGCACACTTCTGCATCGTACTACTCAGGCGGGAGATTTGAATTTGACATAATTAAAGCAACCAGGATCAGGCGCCCGCTCGTTTGTCAACGAGGCAATCAGAGTGCAAGCTTGAGTATCTTACGCGTCGAACAACCAATCAGAGTGCTGTTGCATCTCAGAACAACACACGGCTTCACAGGCGGGGGATTTGAATAAATACTCCAAGCGGTGACGTCGACTCAGTGATGCAACCAATCAGAGTGCACGGTTTTGCATCATCATATAGCTACACAGGCGGGAGATTTGAATTTTCTGTGTACATGAAGAAAAATAAAGTGTTTTTTCACCAAGACAATGCACCGTGTCACGAATTGATGAAAACAATGGCAAAATTACATGAATTGTGCTCAGGATTGTTTTTGCATCCACCGTATCCTCCAGATCTAGCCCCCAGCGACTTTTTCCTCAGATCCCAAGAGAATTATCACTGGAAAGAAATTTAGCACCGATAAAATTGTATGTCAATGAAAATGGTTTCCAAATGCTTATCAGTTGGGAAAGGGACCAACAATTCTCCGTCAATGAACGATTTAGTTTTTTCAACGATTGGGACTCGATCAAATTCATCATCAGGGCTCAAACATTAGTTTATCCATGTTAAAAAAAGAAACATTAAAATATGTATACAGGGTCCTGCAACAGTGGCGCGGTGTTCCATATCTCTATATAGGAAGCAGATAGGAATCTAATTTTCTATAATATTACCTTATTGCTCGAGCTCGACAAAATAAAAATATTGGCGGTCACACAGGGTGTTCGATTTTTTCTGGGCGGATCCCAACTGTGTCTTTTTAAATGGCTTGAGTGAACTTATTTTTCGATATTAATTTAACTTCAATGGATACATCAAAAAAACACTGACAGGAAGCAACTGACAGGAATATACAATAGTTATGAATTCTGACAGACTTCCAGAGCTCACTGTACCTGTCACAGCAGTGAAAAATATTGTTGAAGACCAGCCGTCAGAGCTGATAAACTGTGACTGTGGCAATTTGGCTGAACCTGACATCGAAAATGTCGAAGTGACAGAGGTAATTTTTGATCTACCGCTAATGGACCATAACTAACCCAATTTCTGAAGCTAGCTCGTCATCAAAGAAACAATATTGGTCATCTTACTCCATTAGAGATCTGAAATTACCAGTATCTCGGAAGTTGAGGAAGGAAAGAAATGTGAGAAAAATCAAGAAAACTGGTTTCAAGGTAGTAATAACGAATCCAAGTAATGAGCTAATTGAGGAAAAATTAGCGTTTGTCAGGTTACAAAAAGAAAAATTCTCAGAAGAGCATTCTTTGAGAATGACTATTCTCGCCGATAAAACAATAACTTGTGGATAAAAAACTGGAATCAATGAAGAATCATCATAACCAATCATTTTTTATTCATTATCATAAGAATATTGTGCAGAATCATTTTAATTTTGACATTTTAAAGAATATAGTATGTGGTTTAAAAAAATATATTACATCCTCTCCTCTCATTTGAGATTATTACAAGAAATAATACAGTCCAAGTATCACAGAAATAGTATTAAAAATGTTGAAATGTGTTTTACAGTTAACCAGCTATCGTCTCTCTACGAAAGATAGCTGTCAGAAGTGGAAACTTGTGCAAGTAATCGATTATTGATTGGATAATTCGAATTGAAAGTAATCGACCATTCAATTATTATCATAACTTGAGATAATTCAAGAAACGGTTGAGGTCATACTGAAGAAGACATGTTTAAAGATCATTAGTGTTTCCCCATCAACTTCAACTTCGACCGCAGCTAATATTTCAATTACCGAAAACATGTTGAAACAAAACGACCTACCAGGAATTAATTTACAAAATTGTTCAAATAAGTATAACAGTTGATTAATATTTTAAATAACATATAAAAATGAGTTAATGACATTCAAGTGTACTTACATATGTATTTTAATTTTCAATTCTATAACGCAACCGTAGAAAAAGTACAGTGTACAATGCGTGAGAAAATTACATATTTCTCACTCG